CACATGCAGAGATTCTCCCTATAGCCTTAACAGTCTATTGGGACAAGTGCTGTTAGCGAGCACCGATGAAGACCAGCACATCACACGAGGAAGTGGGTGGTCAGCACCACGCCCGGTCGTCTTTGTCTCTCCCGAACTGACGTGTACACACAGGTCCTTGAGGAAGTCTGCGTCGACCTACTGGAGGCTCGATACATGGTTCGCACGACGCGAGCCCGCGAGCTCTTACGCGTGGTTGGGATCGGAGCGCAGTGCGAAAACCGCCATCGTCAGATCGCCCACGGATCGTAATGTCGCAGTATTAGCGAACGCCTATTAAGGCCTGGGGGGAGGGGGTGTGAGGAAGCGCGCCACGGCCGACCGCCTACGTCTCAGCAGTGCTCGTGTGTTGACACGTACCGCACGCGCCAGGTACGCATGGATGTGCGTCGTAAAGACTGCTAGCGCAGGACTCGTGGAAGCGGTGTTCGCGGAGAGGAAAGCGTTGTGGCTGTAAGGGGGGGGGGGGGGGCGGTAGTGTAGCGGTTAGCGCGCTGCGCAACAAACCCGGCGACCCGAGTTCGTCACTCGGGAGACACAAGCGGTCGGGCGTAGTGCTGGACATCAAATCCCCTCGTGAGCCCGGACCGGGCCTTCATCGGGGCTACTCGCTAACATTGCCCCAGGGGATCTTTCTCTTTGGTACGTGAATCCGCACCGCGCGTGCTGCCCTGAGCTGTGCGTGCATCTATGTAACTCGGCCGGAGAAGAGCACTTGTTTGTGATGTCCGTGTTGTGTGCCTGAGGTGTGTGTGGGGGACACGTGGATGCCTCCAGTATATTTCCGTTTTCCAAATTCGGTGCTCGATTGTCGGAATTTCGGAGTAAAATTACGTGGAAACGTTTCAATTTTCATTTGAATAATGCTACAGTAACTCGTTTACTTGTTTAAAAGTGTAATAGAATATGGTGATACTTTAACATCATCATAATTAAATCGTTTTAATTTAAATCGACTTTTTAAACTACTCAACGTAAATATTTCGAAGTATTTTATTTTATTTTAATCGTTTAAACCACTATTTTGATAATCTTCAATTGTATTATTGTAACTCGTAATTTTTTAAAATCATTTTTAACACATTTCATAATCTACATTTTTTGTTTCGCATCATTTCATACTGATCACTGTAACTATTTCCTCCAGGAAAGCCTTTACCGAGCCGACACATATATTCGTGTTATCGGCGTCATGTCGCGCACGAGGTGAACACGTTTTCATTTGGAACGCTCGCAGAAAGCAGTGCATCACCCGGCGTTGGAGGTCACTTCCCGAAGCCTCGTATTCGATTTCAACCGATGGATCGGTAACGATGCATAGATTCATCCGTTGTAATCAACGTTTCAGCCTCACGCTGCGTGCATCGAATCACGCACGTGACGAGCGAACGATGACGCTTTGATTCGTCTGCCCCTCCAGGATGCACGTGACCTGCAGCCGCGAGCAGCCGCTGCATTCAACGCATTGTCCGATCGATGCAGTATTTGAGTTGGGACTGCGACTCTGCGGTACGCAGTCGTTGCGTGCGGAATCTCCTGGGTTCTATACGCCTTTGGATGCTTTCCGAACGCGGAGACATCTGTGTAAGAATTCTAGATTTGAAGCTTTCGTGACTGCAAGGATTCATACTCGTTGTTTTTTTCGGTAAAGTCACGTCGGTTAAAAGAGAACAAATACATTAAATCACGACGTTTCGGAAGTCTTGAGGTGAAACCGTCACAGCAAATTTGCTGTTTCAAGTGATACAGAAATTGTCACAGCAAAATGTATGTATCAAGTGATACAGACATTTGATACAGAAATTTTGCTGTGACGGTTTCACCTGAAGACGGAAGCCGGTGTTGCCTCCGAAACGTCGTGATTTAATTGATTTGTTCTCTTTTAACCTAAGTGACTTTACCGAAAAAACCAAAGAGTATCTGTGTAAGAGTCGGAGCAACGCGCGGGCGTGTTATCCTGGGCATCTCCTAGTTCGACTCGGCATTAATTGAGTGAGAGTGCCCGTCGCGGTGTGTGAACATCAACACAGAAGATACAAAGGCGGTCGGGCGTGCTTCTAGGACTGCACAACCCACCCCACCGTGACCCTACCAATCTTAAAGAGGCGCTTTCTCACAGCACTTGCACCATCAATCTGTTACGACTATAGCGGGGGGGTGGGGGGTGTTGTTGTATGCGTGTTTGTTTGAGTTCGCCTACTCCTACATGCTCAGAGTTGTGTAGCAGGTTTGGCTCATCACACACCCAACCAATGCGCTTCTCTGCCAAGTGCAACACTGCCGCCACTCTGGTCGTACTAATTATAATGGTCGGATATGAATTTGGGCAGAGTCCAGCTCTGCTGGATTTGGAGTGGGATGCACGTGGCCTTCTCGCGTGGGGTAATGGATATTCGGCATCACGGATGAAAAACAAATATCAAGGCAACGTCTTGTTGATGATGGTTCAGACACACACACAAGTTGTTTTTTATATATATTAAAACCTCACTCTCCACTTTAATAATTGGCTCTGGGTTAACGTCAAAAGTTAGTGCACCGCGCTTGCGAACCCGGACAACTGACTTCGATTCGCGACCACGGCTAACATCAGTGGCCAGTTCTATACGAACCGATCCTGCCCCCTCCCCCATCCACCCCCAGCGTAGTAAAGTATGATCAAACAAGGAATTAAACGTGTCCTCCAGGAACTACTTTCAGAATATTCGGAAGAATGTTTTATTTATACTGAACAAATCTGTAACGGGCGCCACGGTGGCGAGATGTTAACGACCTCGCCTGGTATACAGGAGGTCGTGGGATTCTATCCAGACCCTGACGCCTGTATATTTCGAGTTTGCGTGTCTCTCTCTCATCATCATCACGATAACTAGGAGATGTTAACTACCTCGCCGAGTATGCATGAGGTCGTGGATTCGATACCGACCCTGACGCCTGCTGCTGTGTGTTTGGAGTTTGCCGTGTCTCTCTTTTCGTGGTCGAGTGGATTTTTTTCTCCGTGACCTTTGGTTTTTTACTCCACATTCAGAATCAACGAATGTAATTGGCTGCTCTACATTTCCACGTGATAAGCCACTTTGTTGAGCTATAATTGTGGCCAGGTCGCTTCCGAAAAAAGAGCTATATAGTTAAAGTGGACCTTACCTGGTAAAAAAAAGGTTTCGTTTAGATGGAGCAATTACATCAAATCGCGTGCAGGTGCTAGCGGTTGATTGTTTGACAGCATGATTCGCGAGAGACGGTGGCTGCTAGTTGAGGCTTTCATCCAGCAGTGGATCGATAAAGGTTCCATATTACACCGGGGAACGTTTCGGGGTAAGTGATTCTTCTTTTGCGAGGAGAGAAGGCTTGTGCGGAATGGATGTCTCATTTAAAGTGTGCGGCCTTTTGCGAAATGTCCAACCTCTCAACTGAGTCGACACGAACCCTTTTTCATGGGCGTATGAATGGTTTTTCCACGGGACGTTTGAGTCGCGGACACATTTAAACCCGAGCGCACGACATCCACAAACGAGTTCACGTGTTTTTAAATGATCAATTTGAGATTGCGGAATTGCATCATGGGAGGTAAACATCACAGACAAACAAAGACGTAAAGTAGCAGAGCAATGTCCATTTGCTCTCTTCGCGTACAGCCTCTCCTGCATCACCTTTGTTCATATTCTACCGTGATTACGAAACGAGAGTTAGAGGTTAGTCAAACATTCTCCTCTGAAAGAGGGCAATTGCCCGTAACGTTGGCCTGCTGCTTGGATGTATGTTTCCGCACCCACGATTGGCACGGTTGGCTACGAAGGGTGCGAAAGAAGTTAAACATACATACAAAATAGGAGTAATGATGGATATGCCGAGTTATTTTTCGTGTTTGATTACAGACATGTAAGCGTAAATCGGAGACATCATGCACACAGACACTGACTGTAGGAGGACGCTTTGCCAGCATGGATGATTGTCGATGGTCGAGGCTGCGTGTATGTGTTTTGAACTTCTTTTGCACCGTACGCAGCCAATCGTGAGTTTTAAATTCATATTTAAAACTGCATGGCTCCAGTGGCGTCCGAATATCAGAAGAAAGAGCGCTCTAGACGGCCGCAGAAGCGCATTTTAAAGCGCGCGATGCAATGACCGTCTTTGTTCGATGTCTAGCCAAAAGCCGCCGTGAGGATGATCCGAGTTCGCGTGATGATGGTTTATACTCGTTGACGATATTAGCAGGGAAGGACGACCACCGGCGCAGAGGACGCTTGATTTGGCATCGCAGGGCCATCAGGGATGAACCGCATCTAGAAGTCGATAAACAGTGACTGATGCTGCTCGTACTGGTTGTGGTGATACTGATGGTGGTGTACGGTAGCGCAGTGGTTAGCGCGCTTGCGCTACGAACCCAGCGACCCGAGCTCGATTCCTCCTCCCGACCAACACCAGTGACGATTGTCCGAATCGGTTATGGGCCTCCACTAGGTCGACTCGGCCACAAATAAGTACCTAGTCACAATGTGTAAACATCGCCACTGAGGAGACAAAGGCTTTGTATTAGTGCTTGTCGTGCAGGTGGTGATTGGCGCATTGCGCTATGAACCCGGCGGTCAGAGTTCGATTGCGAGCTGCTCAGCTATTGCTGCTGCTGCTATTGACGATGATCTCAGCTATTGATGCCGCCGATGTGAATGCAGCTGATGAGATTCTGATCTCAGCTATTGATTGTGATGCTGAGCGCATGCGTGGTGGTCCCGTGCGCTGCCTCGATAGAAGCCGCTGGCGGCCGCCGCAGCCGCCGCGCGTTTCGGCATTGGCGGGCATCGTACGGCTCATAAACGCCCGCACGCAAATTGGGGCGGCGTTGCCCGCCCATCCCATTGTGTTGCAACTCCGACACCCAGCCACCTAGTTCCTTTAGAAGGGGGTGGGAGGAACTGGCCGGGGAGGGTGGCGGCGGTGGGAGGTGATTGAGTGGGTTTGGGTCCGAGGTACTTTATAAACGTGCACAACTCGAACACAGATAGTCACGCGCGGCGCAGTTCTTCCGCGGCGGGCGGGCTGGTGGGCAGGTGCGACACGGACACGCGCACCCTCGCACGACGCGGGAGAGAGGAGCTCGAGAGAGGAGAGTGGCGGAATAGCGGCCGTCCCAACACCTTGACGCGTGCGGACGAAATCAAAGAGAGAGAGAGAGAGAAAGAGGCGCGCGCGCGTGCGTGCGTGCGTGCGCGCGCACACCTTGAAATCTCCCTCCTCGCGGGACGTGGTGAGGACGCCCCTGCCATGGCCGTGGGGTGGATGCGGCGAGCGAGGCAGCGCGTCACGGTGCTTGCCCTGCTCGTGCTGCTCGTGGCGCTGCTGGTGCTCGTGAGCTGCCCGGCGCCGGCGCGCGGCTGCGGCCCGGGCCGGGGCTACGGCAGCCGGCGGAGGCTGCCGCGCAAGCTGACCCCGCTCGCCTACAAGCAGTTTGTGCCCAACGTGGCCGAGAAGACCCTGGGAGCCAGCGGTCGCTACGAGGGGAAGATCGCGCGCGGCTCCGAGAGGTTCAAGGACCTGACGCCCAACTACAACCCCGACATCATCTTCAAGGACGAGGAGAACACGGGCGCGGACCGCCTCATGACGCAGGTGAGGGAGAGCGCAGAGAGTTTCCTCTCTGCGGGCTGCGCGGCTTTCTTTTGCGAGGCGTTCACGTCGCGACTGATCGCCGTGGCCCCGCGGTTTGGCCCATTGGATACCCGCCGTGGAGTGTGACGGGACGAGCCGAGTGTGTCCCTCAACACTGGGTGCTTGTACGCGCTTGGCGGTGCCCGTGGGTTAAAGTAGTTGAATAGGTGCTATCAGATTAAGGTGACGCGTCTTTAAAGCGCACTTGAAACGTAGTCGAGGGTAATTTCCGAACGAAGCCCCCCTCTGATGCTGTGAGTGCTCGTGTTGGTTTGGGAGTATGCGGTAGGAATTCCACATTAGGCATGTTTACGGAGCATAGGATGACCGCTAGTGATATTTCACAAACTGGTATTCATTTTAATTCACCGCGTATGGATGATGGGCTCCAACGAACTGTGAGGTGGGAGTCGAATTAGCAACATTCCGGATTCGTTTCACGATGATGACGCACTGGTGTCAATTCACTGCAGTGGAGCAGTGAGTGCGGTGCGCGACGGACCCGGCGACTTGAGTTCCTATCCCGCTCAAGGCCAAACACCGGTGAAGATTATATCTGAGCCGGTTCTAAGCCTCCCCTAGATCGACTCGGCCTCAAATGAGTACTTGGTGCGATGTGTAAACATCGTCACGAGAGAGATAAAGGCGGCCGGGGGTGGTACTGGGCACCCACCCCATCGTGTGCCGTCCCGGCTTTCATCGGAGCTCGTTCACAGCACTTGCCCCAACAGTCTGTGAAGGCTACACGGGAGATCTTTGTCTGTCTTAGCCTCTGTGTGTACAAGCCTTACTCCGATGTAAATGGCAATATTGACAAATGTGGTCTGATTGGTGCCAGCATGAACGTCAATAGTTTGTAGGACAAGGACAAGGACATTGGTCGGTCGACCTCCGAGGATGTATATATATGACTTGTGCGAGCTTGCATGGGGTTAACCAACTTCACCGGGTGGTTCTATCCGCCCCCTAGCGTCACAGCTTCACGTCAATCAGATGATTAACGTGGCCCAATTAATTAATTATCTACACTTGGTTTCTGTTACAGCTGACGGCTTATTTCATATTATTATTATGAGATGTGATTGTTTGTTTTGTTTGTTTAAGACTGAAACTCTTCTTGTTAGCATGACACCGCGTTGTCGCTGTGAAAAAAAAATAAGAAGCAGACGTTTCGGACAATTCCTCTTATAGTAGAACATAATAACTACACACAGCACGTGAGCGCTTGCTTGAGTCGGTGGCGCAGGCCTCTGTAATGCGGCGCTTTTGGAGGCAAGTGTTGGTGGATCACACTTCAGATTTGGGAAACTCCTAAACCTTGCCGGGCTGCGAGGTCGCCGAGAGATGGCAGTGCAGAAAACGAGTCCGTAAAGCCGTACGTGCGGACCTTTAGAAGCAGTCGCCCTCCGGCAACAACGGAGCGGCTAAAACGCAAGACATTTGGCACAATGGGGAGCACAGTTGGTGCATTCTGCCAACAGCGGTGCCTGTGTCTGTCCCGTGACCTACTCGCAGGGAGCCTTCGACACTTCACGTGGCCTCAAAGTGCACCTAGCATGGCACAAGTTCCGTGGTGACGTCACCGCCACTTGGTGATGAACGACAATCGTTGTGGACCTTCGTGTAGTTTTATTCCTCGAATTCGAGGTGGGGTTTCTGCGGGTACTCCCTGCAGCTTCCTCCCACACGAGGTCAAACACTCCTTGAAACGGCATTTGCCAAACATACCCAAATGCAGGAACCTCCTGAAAATGAACATTGACACTGGGTGCGGACGCCATGTATTCGTAAATAGCACGAATAGTTGAATTGACGTGCATTGTTCAGCGATAACGTTCGACATTTATTTAATTCTACGCATTTTCGACCTGCGATGCTACATGCCACGGTGGCGAAATGTTAACTACGTCGCCTGGTCTGCAGGGGTCGTGTGTCCGATCCAGTCCCTGAGGCCTGTATATTTGGAGTTTGCATGTCTTTTTTGACCCCGTAGTCGCGTGGATATTTCTTCGCGTCCTCCGATTTTCCTTCCATAATTTAGAAACATTCGTGTCGAGGATTTGGCTGCTTTACATTTCCATCTGGTAAATCACTTCGTTGAGCTATCATTTGTGGCCAGGTCGCTTCTGAAAAAGAGCTGTATCAGTCAGTGGGCCTTACCTGGTAAAATAAAATAAAATCATTTAGTTTAGATAAGTACAGTCCTTAAATGGTAATGTGATGATAAGGGGCAGAGCAGGGCAGCGAGGTCGTGTGAAATGTTCACTAACGTTAAACAAGCAACGGTGGGTGAGTCAGCTCCAGGTGATGCCATGTTTAAGCTGCCATCTCGCGTAATGTAACGTCAATAATCCGGTCAGAAAATACCTCGTACGATAGGGCACCAAATAGTGTTAGTAGTAAATCACGTAAGCATGACTGGCCACTTCATTATAGCGATAGATTGTATGTGCATGTTCGTGTATGCCTATCTTGCAAACGCGGGATTTCTCGGTCACAAGCATGCCCTCTGGTATCTACGCTTGCGTAACTTGGACCGATATGGGAACACCGGCGCCGGCTTGAAACGTTCAGGTTGGCCTGCAAATACGATCCATCGTGTGCTCGTCTCTTTGGTTCTTTCGGTAAAGTCACGTAGGTATAGAATAAAATAAATTAAATCACGGCGCAACACAAGCGTCCGTCATCAGGTGGGACAACCACAGCAAGAAACAATTGCTGAAGTGGGCAAAAGGGGCTGCTGCTGTAACAAGAGGCTGTGGTTATCCCACCTGATGACGGACGCTTGTGTTGCGCCCGACACGTCGTGATTTAATTTATTTTATTTTATACCTACGCGGCTTTACCGAAAGAACCAAAGAGTATGGATCCCTGCAGTCACGAAAACTTCAAATCTAGATTGGTCCATCTTGTGGTTAACCAGACTTGATTTGTGTTGGGAGATTATCGATCCTTGAGACTTCTGGACACAAACCTATCAGCGGGTACCCTCCAGTCGGCGATGATGTGTTGTTTGGCCGCGCCATGTAGCCCGGATGCCCAGCCACGTCGCCTTCGTGCCCAAATAGCTTCTGTTTTGTCCCGATAGAGGCGGATAAACGGGCGCCGGCACAGGTTAGCGATGAGACCGTTTGATGTGGCACACGAGGACTTGGGGCTGAATGGACCTGGCGTGGTCTGTCCCGGTGCTCGGAAATTGCAAGGCGGCTGTCCTCAAGCAACAGCGAAATGCGGAGGAGCGACGCTAAACAGCAACAAGCGGAGCGAGTGGTGCGGCGCAGTGGGGAGCACAGCTGGTGGCATCTGCCAGTTAACCCACAAACACGTGGGTCTATTCTGTGACCTGCCTAAAAACCGTCGACACGTCGCGTGGCTTCTAAGTGTACCTAGCCTGGCACAAACGCTGTTGCGACGCCGCCGACCATCAGTGGCGAAGGTGGATGATATTGCTGTATATATATGTGTATAGCAGGGAGTGGTGGTGCAGTGGTTTGCGCACTACGCTACGAACCTCGTCACGGATATATTTATTGACAGTGGTTTCAACACTTGTCCCAAATCTCCCCGAGTACCTGGTGCGATGTGTAAACATCACCCGTGGGGAAACAAAGGTGGTCTCGGGCGCGGTTGACGGCCATACCACGGTCACAGCGCTGACTTTAATAGGTGCTCGCAAACAGCACGCACTCCGTCGGTGCCTTGTGACGAGTGATCTCTGCCATTGTCTCGCGTGTAGGTACGTGGAGCGCCGTTTCGGCCTCAAGAGGTGCTCACGAACTTGACTTGCTCCCACACCGTGGGAGAATTTCGTCTTTTGTTTTGTATTCGCGGGGATATGTGGCGGAGCGGTTAGCGCACTGTGCCACGATCGCGAGTGATTTCTCAATCGGTTCCGGGCCTCCCTCCGAGGTCAACTCGGCCTCGAAACGAGGACCCGGTGCGCTGTGTAAACATCGCCACTGGGGAGACAAAGGCGGTCTCGGGCGTGGCGTAGGCCACCTGTGCCGTACTGTAATAGGTGTTTGCGAGCAGCACCTTTCCCCAACAGTCTGTTCAATGCTATACGGGGGATCTTTTTCTTTATGCGTATGCATGTGTGTGGAGGGGGGGGTGTAGTGAGAAACGCAGTGTGTCCACCATACCCGTACTTTGAACGTAAATGCGAGGTCAATGGTACCAAACATGAAAGCGGGTGCCTCTAACGACATCGGTATTTATAGGACCCTCGCTTCGCTGTGTATTGGCCGGCTCGGTGGTCTTACGAAACTCGCCCCGCTGCCTTCACTCGCAGGCGATCCCGGAGGTCGCCGGGTCGTGTGGATGGGCAGGTTACATTGGACGGTAGGTGGACCAGGTGGGCAATTGGGTGAGTGGACAGGCGTGTAGGTGTGGGCAGGTAACAAGGTGGATAAGTGGGCATACGTGGTCCTGGGTCTCCCCTAAGTCGACTCAGCCTGAAAACGAGAACCTCGGTGTGTAACCATCGCCACGAAAGAGACAAAGGCGGCTGGGCGTGGTTGTCGGCCACCTTACCCCGTCGTGTGCCGTGCCGGCCTTCATAGGTGACTCGCTCACAACACGTGCCCCAACAGTATCTTAAGGCTATATTTTATTTCTTTATTGGCGGTAAGTGGCTATGTGGATATAATGGGTGGGCTGGTGGGTAGGTGGGGTGTGGGGACGTGTTCTTAAAGCTGTGATTGCACTTTGCTCACCTTTTTCCGAGAACTTCGCCGTTGCGGAACCCCCACCGCGCCCTCCACCCGCCGTGTGTGTGTTTACCTGTCGTTAGTACAGGTGTTGTTGCATTCGCGTGCGCTTTGTAAAATCCAACCGGCGCCCCGCGGTTTAAATACCGCGAATGTCGGTGTACACGGGTGGGTGTCGTGCCCGAGCTCACGTGTCGGCGAATGTTACTTTTGGTTCGGGCGATTTATTTTGCTTTCTCCTAACACATATAT